TCCCAGTATATGGGTCCTTGTGAAGTAAGCCACTTCTGTGAGCTTCACTTTGTGGGCCCTTAGCCACTGTTTTCCCTGTTCATGCTGGTCATGAATTTGGTCGTGCCAGTCACCTTCAGGGAGGTAAATGTCTCGTTCTTTTGCACCTTTCTTCAATATGGGTGCCACCAAAATGGAATCTCCTACCAAAAACTCAGAGTCCACCAAAAGGGCATGTTCATCCTTTGGAGAGCTCCACCAGATTGGACGGATAATTGGGGCTCCTGAAAAGTAAAAAAAGCAAAAATGATTATCAAGCCATGAAAACAATTTTTGCAATGAAAACACTTATAACAAACTAGTACAAACACCTAATCAAACTCAACAGAAATAAATGGCTATGTAAGCGAGCAATATTTGATTTAATAGCACTTGATAACTGCACAGTGTTTTGAAACACAAATGACAAAATGATATGAAACTGAAGAACATGGACAGCTTATTATATATTTAACCTTCAGAATTGCTTACTGTTATTTGGGATAATTTTGTTGTCTGTATACATATATTGCAATATAAATTTAAATTGAACGATTACACAACTTACCTGTCATCTCTGCCTCGCGCATCCCCTGGAGGAGTAATGGCAGAATTTTCTCCTTTCGTAACTTTATCAGGTTGTTGAATATATCTACAACATCTTTGTCATAATCCCATGGTGTGAAGGCAAACTTCATAACAGGCATAAAGGCTGAAAGCTGCATCCAACGAATATAGAGTTCTGGTTCTGGTTTGGTCAAAGCCAACGTCCCGTTAACTCCATATGTGGTCCCTCCGATAATGTCAGGCACCACAAACTGGTAACCAAGGATACCTAGGGTCAAAATGGAGGGTATGACACTTCGCAGTCCGTTTGTATGAGACCAATGAGACTCTTTTCGTGGTGACTTTGTGTAGACGGGATACTGCTGACTGCGGTACCCACAACTCACCTGTGTAAGACTGCCAGCATTGGGGCTCACCATGGAAATAAACTCGGTCGCAAAGGTTCCAGGGTTTGCGAGTGATCTAAACGTTTTATGAATTTTGGGTAAAAAATTAGTTTCACATCCATGGAAATTGAACGACTTGATGCCGTAATCTTTGACCATGTTGGCTAATTGTTCCTTGTACCAAGTGACTGTGGTCTGACGCGTTACATCTATCACACCCATCAGACCGCTGTACCATTTCATCAAGGAAGGACTATGTGCCTGAATGTCTGACACCAGTAAATCTGCTGCCTTAGTTTTAAATGCTTTTGATTCTACACTCACAAAGGGTGTCATAGAAACAATGACATCAAATTTATATTCTTTCAAATAACTTACCATTTGATGTGAGTTTCTGAAAGCAGATTCATCAAAATTAAAATCCCCAAATCTTGTAGAATATTTATCATCTATTTCTATAAAATTAGCTTGAAGTTTGTAGGGACTAATCTTATCACTGACGTTTTTTGCATGTGCTAATAAGAGTGATTGAGTCAGATTTGGGTTGAATCTGCCCCAGGTAGACCACACAACGCCCTGCATTAAACTTTTGTCTGGTAGACCTAATGGCATGTGAAAATATTTCTTCTGTAGCAGTTTGTGTATTTTACTAATGCTGTCCTCCTTACACACTGTGTACTCCAACACAGGGGTTTTACTGTCTGGGTTTGGGTACGGTGAGTTGGTATAATCGGCGCTAAAACACAGTAAGTTACTTTTACTTTCATTTATGCTCACAAACAGTGGTACCTCACTGTTGACTACAATACCAACACCATTGGAATTTATCCAAAATCTATCAACAATATTTCCAAACATATTTTTTCCACTATTTTTCTCAGTGTTTGATCGGAATAAGATGTCGTTTGATAGATAAGGCTGCATAGGAACATCTGTAGTTTCAAGGGGCCAGGTCTGGTGATAGAGTTCTGCACCACCGTACCAATGGGCACTCCTCAGAGAAAAGCAGTCGTGTGGAATAAAGTCACGACTGGTTGGAGTCCACTTCACATGATGACAGTTGTCCGTCTTTGAAATCTGAAATAAAGAAACAATCTGATATAAAGTTTATATATAAAAGATATGACTGTTGCTACTGGCTTAAATGTTGGAAGTTTGACTCATCATATAACTGTACATATCTGCCTTTTTTCCCCCAAAGACACCAAGTTACCTAAATAGATACCAGCACCCTGGGAAGTAAATTAGGAAAGACCAGTGTCTTTAAAGCATCCATGTGGTTATACTCTTGAGTTCTTTAATGCTACTGATAGTCTAACACTAAGATAGTCAGATTTCATTTATTATAGGATTCAGCACAAATCCGAAAAGAAACATGACAGCTCATTGCTTATGAGAAACCCTTAACAATTCCCAAACGAAGATGGATCCAGTTTGCTTACAATGCATTTAGATCTTAAAATACACACGATTGTATGCATGTTCAGCATAACACCGATCTGTATAGAGGAGCACTTTGAGGGAAAATTATCGGGTTAGACCAAGATTGTAACCCGGAAGCTCCAACTCTAGACAGGTGCTCTAATTACCATTGTGACTGAGCATTATACCTGGTCATCAATTCACAATAGACACATGCCCCAGTCTTATATCTATATATCCTGTTTGCTGACTTGTGATGTCAGTTATTAAAGTATGAACTATAGTATGGAGCACAGATTACTTGTTATGTATTATATGACAAACAGAAATTCCACAAGCCAAATTGGTATGGTAGGATACAACTATAGTATTATATCAGGGTGATATATATATACTCCCTTTACAGGAAAAAAAGCATACTTCACTCGTTTCTATGCCCTTATGATTAACTCATTGCTGCAGACCTACCACAAGCTTGCTGACATCATTTCTGGTTTTTGAGTAGTGAACGTAAACACATATATATATATAGCCTCATGTCTGAAAAGACGTCAGAGAAAATGAGAAATATACTCGCAAGTTCATGCTATTTTATTCAATACTTGTAGAGCTTTTCTGCAATTGTTTTTTTTTAGGTTACAAAAAAATAGAAATAACCTGGGAAATGGAGATATTTTATATAATAATTCCATGCCTCTACATAATCATTTGCTTACAGTATTGTGTGACCGTCATGTGGTCTGGCTCGTACAGCTTTTCTACAGGCAAAACCAAATATAATCATATGTTTTTCATATAAGTTCCTTATTTATTATTTTTAGGTTAGTAAATACAGGTATATTCCTTCCTTTGCAAAACAGTCTAATGTCAGCAATTTGCTTTTTAATTTTGATGATTAGTTTATTTGGCAAATTTCATCTTAAAGGTACAGAAACTAGAGCTAGAAGCTTAATATAACCCAGGTCCCTACATATCCACTATATCGTAAAACGTACTAGCCTTGTCTGTCAATACACCTATGATATGTATATTATAGGTGTAACAGACAAGACTACATGTAGTACCTGTGATTGTAACAGGGATCATTATATGTTTACAGTAATCACAGTAATCTTCCATCATTGGAAATCTTGATAGAGATTGTTGCGATGCCTCTTCTTTTTGCTTTAATCGTGTTAACTTTAACGCCTTCACTTCCGGTTGCG